TATGAGATTTAAAAGACCATATTTTTCTTTACTCATCACAATTATACAACTTTAAATAGAAATGGTAAACTGCGTTTGCAGGGACTATATTTTTGGCGGAATGGTGGCGTATGAAATTATCTTCTTTTCTGCCTCTCAAAATTATTATAGAACATTGAATTTAGTTATAATTTTTACGCAATCAAAGACTAGACGAAATTTTCAAACTTAAGTTAAACTAATATTAAGAGAATAAAGTTTCAAAATATATCAAATAAATAAGATTTTTCACACATGCTAGAACTATGTTGGCTTTTAAATGCTTCAAATGTAAGTACAGATTTGAGCCAAAAATCTGTGAAAAGTGTTATTTCTCTCTTAATAAACGATCAAAACTTTTAGTTTTTGTATCATTTTGTACCTTTATGTGACAACTTTACTATATGTGAAAATTGGAAAAAGTTAAATATAGGAAGCATATAAGAATAACTAATAAATCCTAAAAATTTAAGAAAAGTAGAGGAAATTCGGATTAGCAAATATCCATTTTATTTAAATTATCCATGTCAATTTGGTAATATCATCTATTAGGCTCTATATGGTAGTAGAAAAACATTCAATCTTTTGAATTACAAGTAGGGATCGTATGAATGGAAACAGTAATTTTTTATTCTTAATGTCCAGGAAAAAGGTAATGACCTTGACCTGACCTTGCCTCTAATATTAAACGGTCAAATTTAATCTCACTGATACCATCACTTAGTGATATTGTCCTCTTGATTCTGTGAAAATTTCATCAATTTTTAAATATAAGAAATGTGAGAAGAATCCTACCTTAAGTCTCTTTTTGTGGCAAAATTTCAATAAGACTACAAATGTAGGAGTAGCTTTTAATAAAATTTAACAGAATTTTCAATTTTAGCTAGCATGGCAACATCATTCATCAAAATTTTAAAAAAAGACAATTATGAATATCAGTGTAGTCTAAACCTGTAGCAGGAGTAGCATTTTGAAAGTATTTCACAGGAATTTCTATTTTTAGTTACCAGGCAACACCGTTCATCGATATCAAAACCCGATAAATAGAATCATGTATCTTAGTGTAGTCTACTTGTGTGCCAAGTTATATTGAAATCAGACGAAAACTGTAGGAGAAATAGCATCTTGAAAGTATTTTCACAGAAATTTCTTTATAACCACGGCAGCACCGTTCATCGAAATCAAAAACCGATACAAAAAATTAGTGTAGTCTACTTGTGTGCTTAGTTATATGCTCCTATTTTGTATTGTTTTATAGAGTTTTGATTTTCCGCCGAAATATGGCTGAAATATTGCCGACTCGACGTTAAACAATATACAATCAATCAATCAATGGACTTTGATTGTGAATACTGTTCGTTATCTCCATATGTTTCACTGAAATCAGACCAAAACTGTAAGAGAAGTATAGTGTAGCATTTTGAAAAAAATGTTTACAGACAGGCAAACAGATGGTCACACAGCTAGACGGATGGACGACGGACACATTACTATCGCACATTAAATTTAAACAGGGGCAATAGAGGCAGTAGAGGTGGCAAATCATCTAATGTTCGAAATACTCATTCTGATCCTCTTGTTTCTCTCCCGTTCTCAACTCAACAGTCATCACAAAAACCTAAGTCATCAAAAAGATTCAGACCTGGCTCAAACTCAGATTCCGACCTATCACAAGATCTGGTTGAGCTTAGTAACCTGTTAGACAACATATCTGGTAACAAAGAGCTTCTTAAACAGGCTACAAGCATTATACTGGAAAAACTCGAAATAAAAAATTGTATTCTCGAGGAATTATCAACTAAAGTAAATAAACTTAAGATTAAAACATCAGATCTAGAGTCTCGTCTTGATGATTTGGAACAATACTCCAGAAAAACCTGTTTGAAATTTTCTGGAATTCCGGAGAGAGAAAATGAGAACACAAATGAGATTGTTCTAATCATTACAAATAATCTAGTACTACCAGAAGGTGTAAAGAAACTAGACACATCAGATTATTTTTATATAAGTACTGGATTTATTCGTTATTTTTAGTGTAAATTCTTGTTTCTGGAATTTGTAAAATCTGAATTGACCAATCAGAAATTAGAGTCTATCTTTCGTTGTGCTTAGATGTAAAAAAACAAAAACAACAAAAAACAAACCCTCCCATGTCTTTGTTTAGAACAATCAGATAATGACTCGGGCTTTTCCGTCAGAAAAAAACCCGGAAAATTTTAAGCATTACAAATACGTAGTTTTCTTTAAAGTGTAAGCTACACAATAAATAAACATAGTTATTTAATACTACAACATGATACATCGAAATTGTTATCGTACGGTCTATCTATAGTAGTTTTCACAGGTTTCCCAGAATGCACGACGGTAAAGCCGAGCATGCGTATTCAAGGAATTTGGACTAACGTAGTTGCTAGCGCTCGAGAGCGCTAGCAATAAACAATTACCAGAAGAGTATTACCTATGCAATGACACACTAAGCGATATATTAATTTAATTACTGAGCAAGAAGTTGTCGATATAATATCAATAATCCCTGTTAATAAAGCAATAGGTACTGATGCAATAAGCCACAAGATGTTAAAATCTACTATTTATTCTGTGTGTAAACCGCTATGTTGGTCATTTAATAAGTCGCTGGCAGAAAATGTATTCCCAGAAAAATGGAAAGTCGCTCATGTATTACCTTTGTTTAAAAAAGATAATCCTTCTATAGCGACTAATTACAGACCGGTATCGTTGTTGAGCTGTGTTAGCAAAATCATGGAAAGCATTGTTTTTAAACATGTGTACAATTACCGGTACTTTCATCAGAATAATTTATTTTATAAATTTCAAGCAGGTTTTTTTGCCAGGTCACTCAACTGTTTATCAATTACTTGAAACTTATCACACTATAATTAAGAATATCGATGAAGGAAAATTTTGTTGCATGGTATTTTGTGATCTGTCCAATCAATTTGTCCAAAGCGTTCGACATAGTGTGGCATAAGGGTTTACTTTTTAAAATAAAGACATACGGTTTATGTGGAAATATTCTCACCTGGCTTGAGAGTTATTTATGTAATAGAAGGCAGAAAGTCATGTACAAAGATATTTTTTGTCTAGTAGAAACATTAACGCTGGTGTACCACAGGATCAGTTCTTGGTCCTTTACTTTTCTTTATTTACGTGAAAGATGTGTCAGAAAACACGATTTCATTGTGTAGATTGTTTGCAGATGACAACTCGTTGCAAAGTTCCTCTTTTAATGTTGCTACTATTGAATATACTTTAAATAATGATTTAGATATTCTTGATAAGTGGTCTTCCAAATGGCTTATGAAATTTAACCCATCCAAAACAAAAGCATTATTCTTCACATTAAAATCCAATTATCATCTTCCTAAATTACAATTTCAACGATGTAAACTAGAATACATAACCTCTCATAAGCATCTAGGATTACTTTTGAGCCAAAATCTTAATCGGTCTGATCATATAGACAATATAGTTAAACAGGCTTACCAAAGATTAGGTCTCCTAAAAAAGCTGAAATACAATATTGGTAGAAGCACTTTATCTAAAATGTACATAACTTTTATTAGACCACGACTTGAATATTGTTCTGTAGTTTTTGATCGGTGTTCTTTACAAGATGTTGAAAAGTTAGAAAAGGTGCAGCTTTATGCTGCGAGAATAATTACAGGATTATCAATCATCGCTTCAAGGGATGCATTATATTTAGAAACAGGATGGAAACCTCTTGCAAATAGGCGAAAAGTAGCAAAACTAAATACTATGTTTAAAGTACATCACAGCTTGGTACCCGATTTTTCCCTCAACAAGAAGTAATGAATCAAAGTACGACACGCGCAATAGAGAGGACTACACTATTCCTAGATGTAGACTTGAAATATTTAAGAAATCTTTTGTTCCTGATACAATAAACCAATGGAATAGTTTGAGTATTACCACTAGAAACAGCATATCCTTTAGAAGCTTTAAAAACAACATATATAAAAACCCAGCAGACCCCCCTTCTTATTTCTCCCATGATAATAGACGATTTAACATCATACATACTAAACTACGACACGATTGCATTTTAAATTATGATCTTTAAAAAGAAACATTATCGAGAGTCCTAATTGTTCATGTGGTACACCAGAAGACCCAATCGGCATATAATTTTTCTTTGTTTGCAATGAGTACCAACATGATAGAGAACCACAAATAAGAAATCTATTGTGTCTTACTAAACCAAATATTAAATTGAATATTATTGATTGTTTATTTTTTTTTTTTTTATTAATTCTCATTGATGTATATATGTTGTAATTGATGTGTTGTAGTTCAAATCTCAAAATGGAGGAAATAAAGAATGAATGAATGAAAAAACTTACTTTTGTGGGGAAATGAGTCACAAAATGTGGAAATCAATAAATATATATTTTTCATTCAGTTCAAACATAAATAAGAGATTCTGGTAGATTTAATTAATTATTACAGCCAAACACTTACACTCCAGATAGTTATATATTTATCATGTGTAACGAATGTGTTATTTTTTAAGCAAACATGTTTGTATATCAATATTTTTCTTTCCTTTTTTCCTACGTATAGACATTGACAGTTGTAACATTTTATGGTGAGAACCTTGTAAGTTGTTAGAACTTGTGTTCAAATCATTTGTAGAGTATTTGAACAATAAAATATGTTCAAACCATCGCATAAGCTCTTCTGGTCTCCGACAGGTAGAGCTAAATATTTACTCAATGTTTGAATTTCTCTCTGTCCTACATTATTAAATTTTCATTTACGCCTTTGCAGCCTCATTGTGACGGCATATTAGCGCGAGTTTTTTCCGTGTACATTTCTATGCATGAGTTTTCACAAATATGGTATTCTAATCAATTTCACAGTTGACTCACTAGAAAAACACAGCAAATGTAAATATTGACTGATATCCATAATACTCACTAATATAAATTATAGAAACTTACCCAAGCCAATGATTATGAATCTAGAACATCTTTTCTCGGCTTTATATTCTTTTGAAGTTGATGTCAAGATGAAAAAGTGGAATATTTCCAACAATACAAATGAAAATGCTGATATGTAAAAGAAATAAGCTGCAATTTCACCAATTAACCAAAGAATCTACAAATGAAGAAAATCGAAGAATAAATTGAATTAAAAAATTAAAATTTTACTGATTTCCTTGTTCTTTCTATATGAAACGATGTGTTCATTATTTTTTTCAGTAACAAAATAAAATTTATAAACAAACCATTAACTACTAGTATTGTTAATTTTTTTTGTATAGGATGTAGAAAGGTTACAAGTTAAACAAACATGCAGTAGTTTTACTCAACTGCAAAAGTGTATTGAAACAATACAAATTTGTAGCAAAGCAAACATAAAAATTTAGTTTTCAAGCATTGTAAATTAAAGAACACTGAAATCAAATGTTATTTTTTTTGGTTTTTGTTTTTGTTTTTTTTTTTAAATTTGAAGTACTGGTATTTTTTTCTATTGGAAATCAAAGTTTTAAATTTCTGATCATGTCACTTAATAAAGTATTTTTACTATGAAATTCCAGACTGTTGTTTTCAATTGATCCATTTATCAATGACATCATTTTTTTTTATATAAAAAGGAAACATTACTTTTAAAACCAAATACTTATCCTAAGCTATCCTCTCTACAGATTTTATTTTCATAACTCTTTAAATCCTTTATAAAGAAAATTAATATTTAAATTAATCTAGTTATTTTTTAAAGTAAAGTATCAAGGTACCATAATGCTGTTTTTAGTGATAAGATGATTAAGGAAAGAAATAAATACAATTTAATGATTAACTACATTGGCTGTAAAACATGTAAAATCTATTTTGTCAATAAATTGAAGCATTAAAAACTTATTTAAAACCATGGTTACATTTTAATAAGCATTATTTTTAATGATACGTGATACATAAGACAGTGATTTTTTTTAAACGCAACTTTTATTTTTTACTCTCCCTCAAGATTGAAATAATGTGAATCGATTTTACCTTATTTTCCATGCCCACGTGGCACATTAGGAAAACAATATTGTTCAGGAACAAGACAATGTTGAAACTCAGGTAAAAGACATAATGTTCACCAATTAAGTATCTATAAAAATATGTCACAAAATTGTGTTAAGTCCATAGAAAATTATATCAACCTCTTCTTATTTAGAAGAAATGGTAATATCAGATTATTTACTAAACAATTTTCTAAATTCAGATTAGGATGATTATTCTTTTGTCCTGTCCTCCTTATAGTTTTAAAAAAAATTATTTAATATAGTTTTTATTAATCATTATACAGTATTTATATTTATGGATATGCATATTATTTATTTGCATAACATATATGATATTTCGTCAAAGATCTTTTCATAACTAGTTATATAACTTGCATGAACTTCGTCAAATATATTAATATTAACCTTGCACATTTATTACCTCCAATTTCTTGCGAAGATGAAAATGCAGACAAGTAATCCAAATATTGAGATCACGTGACTCAAAATAACAACCAATGATGTCTGACTCGACGATTTGTCGAAAGGTATCTGAAAAATTGGGTTTGTATTAAGAAATAATGACTCTTATCATTTAAGATTGATCAACTAATACGTAACAGAAATGAAGTCACGTTTTAAAATGTCATATGAGCAACTGATGAAATTTTATAATCCCCCAAAATACGCACTGTCGTATTAGGTACAAGTCCAGCTATGGTTAATAGTACTGGAAGATCGCATTGACACGTGACAGCTTCTGTCGCAATAGAAACTATTGAGCAGCTATTATTTCTCCACGAATATTTTTGAGGCTGCCTAGTCAATACACAAATGAATTACATTATTCTCCATTAAATTATTCAAATTTAAGGGTTTTTTTTCAAGTCTACTTAATAGTTTGTCGAAAATAACTTACCTTTTATTTCTTTCCCATGAAAAACAAGCATATTCCTTTATATCACTCTGTTTTCCCTTAAAATTATCAATTTTATTATTTTTAGAATGCAGATATAAAAGAATACATGCAATTGGATAACTCGTTTTGATGGAATTTAAGTTTTAAAATAGATTTCAAGAATTTTTTTAATCGCATTACAATCATAAACTTACAATATTCATTGATATATTTGCTGAAACAATATCCAAACGCTGGTATAATGCTGATGATAAGCTTTGTTCAGTGTACACAGCTTCAATATCAGATATAAAACTCATGCCTGGAATTCTATTTTACGACAACATGAATATAGAATTCAGTCGTTGATAAAATTGGAATAGTTTAATTGCCAAAGTGGACATTAATTTCTTATTTGCATATTCTTTTGTTCAAAAGATTGTATTAATTTGAAATATATCATCTACTTGTCGTACATTAAAATCAAATTCTAATGACTTTTATATGTTGATTTATTTTTGTCTTCTCATAAAGTATGAATTAATATTCATTTCTAACAATTTAAGCAACAAAGAGGATAATTTTTGATAGTATATATTTTTTTCAGTAAACGTACTTTAAGGAAGATTGTGCAGACAGGTGACTTTCTAGATTTCGGAATCTAAATGACGTCAAAGTCACACCTATTTACAGAGAGAAAAAAAATTTGATGAAATATACAAGCATGCATTTAATTGTCATAAAAACAATTTTATTAATAACAGTCTATTGTACGTAACCTTTGTTTGATACGATAGACTTGCTTCTTTGGCTTCCAAGTTCCTGAAAGTCTGAAAACAAGATAAATCATAAACAATTATACAGGATTAAATGTCAGGTAACGGCAAGGTAAAAGGTTTCAATGCCCTACCAATATTTTCTGTTATGATTCCATCCCCAATCTCCACATGGAACAATTGTTTAAAGAATTTTCGGGCGAAAAAAGCAGAAATATTTAAAATATTTATTCCAAGGGTCAATCTCTGTAAAAGGAAGAACAATATTTTATTATCTTTTTTATCTTGTCTTTTTGCAGTGAGTTGAAAACTTTATAAAGATACTAATACTCTACAAATAGATTTTTTTAATCTTTTCTACTCAGAACTGTAATTTTCTCATTAGTACCTTTTTTATATTCGATGACAAATCCTTCGTTACCGTCAGTAGACGATCCATTATATTGATGATATCCTGAGAAAAAATACACCTTTTGTTAAAACAATTTCAATTATGCAAGGTAAAGTTTACAATAAATGGATATTAACGTATAAAGGTTTCCCTTCTTCAACTTACTCACTTCGAATGAAATTCTTTCATCAGTTGTGGCTACTTTTGGAAAAGCCCACATATACTCCAAAATCCGACGTAAAACACTTGTTAGAAGCTCGGCATCACCGACATTTATTGTCGCATTCTGAATTTGAGCAAAGAGGTGTAGTTCTTTTAGAATCTTCGTGATCGTTGTCGAACGATATCCTTGACGTAGTACTTCCACCTAAAAATGTATGCAATATATTTATCCACATATTGACATGGATAAGCTTGATATGATAAAGTATGTTTCTCAATAAATAGTGACATAAAAATGCTCTATTTCATCTCAATTTTCACTATACCTTGTCATAAATTTGAATCAATTCATTGGATTGGCAATTAAGGAGATTTGGTTCCGTCCATCTACATATTTTACTGCTATTGTCATAAATACAGGAGCGTTCTGCAAAACCTAAAAATAATTATTGAACTAAGAATAAAACCGAATATTTAAGAAAAAATCAAACTATATGAAAGTGCAGCAGTGTCATTACCTATAACTGGAAAGGGCTTCAAAAGGTTTCAATATTTCCCAAAATAAATGTACAGTTGTTTTGAGGGAATATATAAATTTTAGAAAAAGAAAACAATACCACCGAATTTGGGAGGACAGCTCTGTTTTGTAAAATGATCTTTCTCAGTTTCCGGCCACAGAATATCTATGTAAATTTCTGATGGACAAACGAGATGTATGTCTAGAAACACAAAAAAATGTATTAGACGTATGTCTGTTAACAATAAAACGTATTATTTTTCTAGGCTTTCATAATCGTTCCATTTTATACAATTAAATTACATTGTAGGTTGTCTTTTGTAAAAATATTTTTAATTGATTGTAGGTGTGAATGGTCTCACACAATGTAATGATTTATTTGCAATTTTAGTCTTCTAGGTAACTGAATCTTTAAAATTAATTTATTTATTATTCAATATATAAACTTATATTTGTCTTGTCCTTTATGCCATCGGCCTTGGCATTCAGATAAGTGTTTATCAAATATACAACGCACATATTAATAAATATTGAGAAAATGTCTATAGTTGTTGATTTAAAGTTCTTCATAAAATAATTAAGGAGACGGACTCATGCAAACATTTATATAACTCCTTAGAGTCTACATGTGTGCAGGCTTTATGAAAATAGGCCAAAACTGTAGAAGGAGTAGCTTTTTGAAAGTATTTCACAGACATTTTTATTCTTTTAGAATCATGGAGACATCGTTCGTTGAAATCAAACATTGATAAAGAGTATTAATAGTAAAGTCTTCTTGTATACCAAGTTATATTGAAATCAGACCAAATTTGTAGGAAAAGTAGCATTTTGAAAGTATTTCTTTGAAATTTTTTTAACCATGGCAACACTGCTATAAGACATTCATGCTATATGAAATTTACGTGATTGTGGAATATCACTAATGAAAGAAAAAGCTTTAAGAGTTTCAATCTTTTTAAAAAGAAAAATCGGGATTTCATACAGTCTCTGTTTCAGTGCAATCGGTGCCTTTTTGTGAATTTAAAATCTTGCTTGCAAACTAAACTTGGTGAATATTAATACTGTTAAGTTTCATTATGATTGTCCAAGTCAGTTGCAAGGACTTCTACAGACAAACGTGTAGCTGGACCAATAATTGTCACCCTCAATTCAACCCCTGAACTTTTTCGTTGGTGATGTATTAATAATGAAATCCAAAGGAATGCAACTTTGGAGTTCACATTCTTTTACTCTTGGTCTTTAAATGATTGAAAACTTTACCTTTGGCGATAAAGACATGTATTGTTACATTTCTCTCTCCTACTCGGTTCGTCACCTGGCATGTAAATTTTGTGTTTTTCGTAATTCCTTTAGCAACCAGCTGACTCCCAGCTGGTAACAGCGTTTCTGGTATGCGGTTAGGTGTATGCCATTTTATTGGAACTCCATTCTCAAACCATTTGTATAGAAATGAGTTGTATGGCTCGTTGATGGAAAAGCATGGAATTCGAACTGAGGCATTAGGTGATTTTACTAGCTCTGTTTTTGGTACATAGATCAGAGGAGTCGACTGAACAGCTACGTATGTAGAACGACGTTTTTCTGTTGTATCAGCAGCAGCTACACAAGTGAAGTATCCTATTTTGGGGGAATAAAAACAGAGTAATACGTTTTCTGTGTAACATGCCTTTTATAAAAATTTCCAAGACGACGAGATCGAGCAAAAATTTATGGAAGAAATAGTAGTGCTATTCTAAGCTTCTAAAATGAGTTATATCTGATTCAATAAAATCCCTATTTATTTTCTGATTTGGTATAAATCAGGAATGTACAAACAATGCTTAATTGTCATACTTATATCGAGTTGACAAGAATGTCTTAGGTAACAACTGCATATATTTACAGATAAAGATAACTTTGTATGATGTATTTCCCACGCACAGAGTTATTCCCATAAACCGCCATCTTGGAGGTCAACCTGCTGCAAGTGATCTACTAACTTTAATTAACTCGCAAACAAAACGAAACGTGCAGCAAATATATATTGTAAGCCATCTTTACAATATAAAAAAAGGAAACAAAAGAGGCTTAAACAAATTTATATTCATTATTAAAAAATATAATTATATTTTTTAACACCTAAATGGTCAGTATAATAACGTTAAAATTGGTTCTGAGCATGCTAGTTAACATCCAATGAAGTGGCCAACGGGAAAGAACTCCTGCTAAATTCACGTCTTTCAAAAGCTATTTATATACTTACTTACCTTCGTCATATTTTTTTACTTGAGCAAAATATAACACCGAACGTATAATTCCTTCTGTACTGGACATAAACACTCTATGGTAGGCACTACGAGGAGAGATTGAAAAGTCTACTAGCATGCCATCCTTGTACCATCTGAATCTGGTGGAATTATCTCCCTTTACAATGCATGATATTGTTAGAAACTGATTTTCATTTGTGTAAGCTTCATACCCTCCTCCACCATTCCCTGTTACCATGTCAACGATTTGCAATTCTTCAGAGAGAAACAAATTCATTTTAGGAATGGTATGTAATTTTTTCGAGAAATATCTATAATTCTGAACATTTTCAGAGCTCACTAGAGAAATAAATTTACACAAATATTCTTTATATCTACAATATGCATCTTTGTGAGTTTTAAGTAATAAAAGCAAAATCATGTAAGCTTTTAAAACGAAGTACAATTTACCTTCTTTTATTGAATAAGTTAATGTATTCCTATTTTCCTCTTTGGGTAACTTATTTCGAAGTCTGTTAATTACGTCCATCGTTTTATTCTTGTCACCAATTTCTATCATAAAAGTAAATTCTGCCATTTGGATGCCTCCTGATCTATAATAAAGAAAGAATACATTTTTCTCTGATCGTTATAATTAGAAACAGGAAATCGTATTTATTTTTACAGGTCTTTAAGGAAAATAAAAGAATTTTGATTGATTTTTTTAATACAATCAGTTAAATGGATTTGTGTTATGGAAGTGATCAACAAAGATAAATAATTCAAAATCATGACAATTTTTCAGATATATTACAAAGCTCATGATAATGACTGAAATTAAAATGAAAAACAATTTCACCTTTGAGTTTCTTTGGTAAAATTGTTCATGCTTTTAATTTTGTACCGACGTAGTTGATTTGAAATCTGCAATAAAAAAAATTTTAAAAAGGAAGAGTAAGGATGAAGATGCATTATTTCAACGCACTGTGGTTCAGTCCTAGTGTTAATCTTCATCGACTGAATCGAAAAAAGTAAAGAATGAAATTGCGATAACAAATAGTATTCAAGCTCAAAAGTCAACACAAATCTGGAGCAGAGCAAACAACCTCTAAAACATCAGAGATGGGATCAAGTGCCATGAAAGAGTGAGCATCCGCTGCCGACCGGTAACACCCGCCGTGTGCTCCCTATCATGATCGGGAAATAATGTTAAAAAAAAAAACATCATCCATCTCAATGAAAAGATACAAAAATTCAAAGTTGCCAGGAATTACAGAGTTCGGGTAAGGTGCCTAGGGGGAGTAAGCATCACCTGTTGACCGGTTATGCACGTCGTAATCCTTTGTATTGCTCAGTAGACAGGACAATCAGTAGTGAAATATATCTTAAAAAGGCCGGCCTAGATTCCCAGCAATTGGTGTACAAAGTAATTTAAACATACCATAGAATTAACTCGATACTGAATTCAAACAAGGGATATGAAATACTTACATAAGAAAAAATATCACTTTTAATATTTGCTGATTCGTTGGGCGATTGGTTTCTCCATTCGATATGTATATTTACAATCACTTTTTCTGTAATATATTTATGTACAGTTTGTTAAATATATAATCGTTACACAACAGGACAAGTTTTCCTAATTTAAATGTTACGAGAGATTAAAATTCTAAATGTATGTTTCTGCAATTCTTTTTACGCGAACAGATTAAAGGCCTTTAGGTACACAATCTTATTTTATATTTAGCATTGAGTTTTTTTCAAACAGTTTGCATTTATATTAAATAATAAATAACATATTAAGATCTCATAACATATTGCAAGTGAGAGCAAAGTATATCAAATAAAAATTAATGCTTCGGTACATTTTCATTTGATTCTTAATTTGTTATTTCAATAAACATCCCTTAGGTGCAAATAGCATAGATAAAAGTACCAGGCGACAACTTTGTAAATTATTGATTTCTTTGCCTTAAAGTATATTTTTTTATGTTATGAATATTTTAAGAAAGAAAGTTGGAAACATACCAAAAAATTAAATCGTATGTTTTTCACATGTAAAACATCTAATTGACATGCGCAGTATATAAGACAATTTATACCTACAGCAGTCTTATTCCTTCATCCCGATAACAAAAAAATCACTAAGTCTTGACTGTTTAAAAAAAAATAAATAAAAGATACCTTCAACTGAACACGTTTGTCCATCAGTGTTCAGGCGATATCCGTCCTGACAGCCACAACCCATTTTCCCTGGAAGTATTTCCACACAAATTTGATCACATGCTAGGAAGTAGCATTCTAAACAAAAAAGTAGTGTACTCTCTATTGTATTAAATCCAGGTTTTCATATTTCTTGTAATCGAATAAAGTTCGTTTTTAAATTAAATTATGTAATACAAGAAAAATAATCTTATTTTCTCATGACTTATTCTATTTTTCTTATATTGATTTGTTTTGAACATATTTTATTGTATAATTTATACAATGGGATTGGTTACAAGCTCTTGCAACTTAAAAAAATCTCTCCCTGAAATATATTGATTATATTGATTTGCACTGTCTTAAAGGAAATCAGTACATTTTAAAATATATTGTCGTATTTTGGCCAACTTGTTTTATGCAAATTGTGAGGCGTTTGATTTTGTACTAGATTTGACTACAGAATGTTCCGTTCATATGTTTTTTGAGCGAATAAATGAAGGAATGAATGTCTACTTGTTCTTTACATAAAACCTAGGTCGGGTATGACAGGTAGACAGAGGATGCTCCCTCCCCCTATAGGCACTTGATCCCACCTATGGAATTTTTTAGGGTCTGTATGACCTGTTTGTATTGAATTGTATTGGAATTGTATAATTGTTTGTAGTTTTTATGATATCGACCGCTGTTCGTTATCTTACCCTTTCCATTCATGAATATATTCTATTTTATTCATATATACCTTATACACCTTTAAAAATATTTAGATTGCTCAATAAGATCCAATTAATATTGTCATCTGAGAATTACAATAGCCTGTACCTGGATTTTTTCAAATTCTGATAGAATTTTTTAACCATAATGGATTGGTTATTTGAAAGAAACAGCTATTATTTAAGTTTTGTTATGGTTTATCTCAAGGGAGAAATAATTTGTATTTTTTTAAATCAATCTAAGTTTGTATTAATTAAAGTACATATATGTTTCAATTATTGATATAAAACAACTTCCCCTCTGCGTGATCTTTTTTTTTGTTGAATTAAGAATTCCGTATATGACTTCTGGGAAAGACCAGGATTTCACAAAGGAGAAAAATCATTGTTATTTTCATAAATTTTAAAAGGAATGAATGTTAAAGTTTAAAATTTAATAAAAATACATGTATATAGATCAATTTTGATCAGCTGGGCATTTAGAACATAGCATTTTTCTTTATATATATATATATATATATATATATATATATATATATATATATATATATATATATATATATTGTATCTGCATTTACATACATGTATACATGTATAATAAAATTTACATACCATCTTGTTTGACTTCACACCATTCCCCAGTATATCCGTATGGACATTCACACACATAATTTAAGGACCCATTCAAGTAGCTTTAAAAAAGAAATTTTTTATTATATTTAAAGAAATAGAAAATTTTGAACATGGAAAAGAGCTATTTTAATGTTTTGAACACCTCTTTTAACATTTGTCTCTCCTTTGTGTTCTAATCATACAGTGAAAAAATCATAAAAAGAAAGAGACGTGTACAAATGGATAATTATTATGACCCTTATTATGTGTCGGCTCTACATATCTCATTGAACGATATGAAAGACGAGGTAAATTATTGACAAACAAGTTGATGAAACAAGAATATCAACAGTCTCGTTTAAAGTCATCATTTCGTAAGTTCTATGGTCGATACAATGACAATAATTTACCTCGTTTTAGAAATTGTTCATACGTAGATCATATATTTTGAACACAAAAAGGGGGTTGGACTGGCCCCCCTCTATATCCAGTGAGAAAGTGAAACATATTGGTTAGATAAAACACAGGTTGGATGTATTTATTGTTTAAAGACTAATGATACCTATTAATTTCATGATTACACATTATTAAAATTTGCAGAAATAAAATATACTGAATTTTGGGGAAACAGTTCTATTTTAATCGGAAAAGCATACACACTATAACTTTGATGGGGATTTAGCACTGATATACATTGAACTTCTGTCTACAAAATAAAGTTGAAAGATCTTAGCTTACTTTTTGAACCCAAGCTTTTTTGAATGACATGTTGTTTCGCATTTAGCCTACATTTGACGTAAACTTTTACCTTCGAGATAATTAAATGTGGCTACCTAATTAGAGATTCACTTTTCAGGTGCAGATAAGACAGAGTTCATTTCATCCTTACTGACTCAGATATGAGAAAAGATGAACTATGGAGAAAAACTGTGTTACAGGTAATGAATTCTTTATGTAAAAATTATCCCATTTAATTATATATATTTCCACAAGTTATAAACTGCTTTTGTTAGTCATTTAAATTACACGCTGAACATATGATGATATCTAATGGTGAAAATACTTGTGTGTAAAAGAAATATCAGTAGTTGGATAATTTTAATTAATACAGAAAAAAAATAAGTTATAAATAGGGTAGGAAAATTTAAGATGAGAAAACGTTTAGAACATCATCCCTGGAAATAAAAAAATAAATATACATCCCAATTACCTGCATATTCCTCCATTTTGGCAGCGATTGGTTTTCGTCAAGGGGTTACAGTCCGGTCCATATTGACAGAACTCACCAAAGAAATTCTCTGCACAATGACATCTGTATTCCGAAAAATCGGCAGAGGCCAAGCAACTACCAAGATAGGAGCAATGGTAAGCAGTACATGTGACTTTTTCTGAAGATGCACCCTTTTCTACGAATTCATATGTTATGTTAAAACCATACACATCAATCATGTGCTCAAGAACTCGGATATTAATGTCTCCCATTTGATACACCCCGAATCGCAGGACGACAAACGGTGCCCGTATTTCCAGAGAATAAACGTCGTGATAAGCGTTCATTATCTCCATTTTGGATTCATTCCGGTAGTTTTCAGAATTCGTGTATTCCTGAAAGAACTGAACGGTGAAATAATTTGTTAAATAAAACTGAGTGAAGTGAATCAACGTTACGGGTGTCTTTTGGTTATGGATCACCCATTCACAACGGATAGGCGTAGGAAATTCTTTTGGGAAATTCGGAGATTGTATAATTCCTTTTTCTGAACGAAGAATTCCGCCACAATTTCTATAGACGGAAGAAAATGCATAGTGCAAATGTACGAATACAATTAATTTTAAACAAAACGCAGCTATCCCCATTGTCACAACTTATTAATTGTTCGTAGATTTTGCTTTCTGTATTTATATAAACTTAATGTAATATTAACGTTTTAATAAAGAAATAAAAACTTCCCGTCGATCCCAATTTGTCAACCGTTTCTGGTCTATTTCGAATTTCACAGTCCCTTTTATTTCTTTTATCAGGACATATTTCTAAAATCCATTTAGTCTAAAAGTAATATTTTGTACTTCACCTTTTTCCATTTTACTGGGTGAAACATATTTGGTATCAAAGGATACAAGATTGTCTGGATATGAGGAGCACCCGATCAGCGTATCAAGTGAAGTAGACCGGAGACTGGGTTTCATGACAGGCGACATGACACACTGCACCCTAACCCTCCTGGTAATAAGTTGTAACTTGGTCAGGTAATAACTTGGTCAGAAAAGCATAACGACTTTTTTTCTCTCTTTCAATAAATTATTCATCAATGTTTTGATATGCTGATCTCTAATCTATTATCAGTTCGGAAATCTTTTCTTCATTGACTCTCTATTTATATGCACCACTCCACATGTATGAGATTTTAAACAAAACAAGTTTTCATCACTTGTGCCATATTCAAGGTTTCACATTTCATGTTCGCAGCACTGTTAAGGCCTACTATGAGAAATCAACGGAAAATAGACGTGCAAAAAAAGGGGGGGATGTTTTAAAACTGAATTTATTTTAATTAATCTGTTTTATTATCACAGAACTTAAATACTTATGGAAATAGCATAGTATAACCCACTCTGTACTTTATCCCGCTTCAGACAAATTTGTCGATTACTGATTGGATAAAAGCTAATCACATGACGCCCTGAAATTTTCCGTATTACGTCTCCGTTTCCATATTACGTCTCCGTCAAGGCGTAATATGAAAATCGGGCACGCGATTCCGTTCGAAGCGTTGTTATTGTAAATAAAAATGGCGGCAAAGAAACGGATAACGTAGGTAGTTTAGTTAAATTTCTTGTTACCGAAACGATATTTTATGTTGATTGTTATTGGATTAAAATAAATATTTTCATAATATGCACAAATATTTTTTTTATATTGAAAAAAAAGGTCTTCAGCGGGATAAATTCGTTACAGTCAGTTAGTGACCTAATACGGATTCATACAGGGTGTGAAATGGAAATCCGTATTGGGACTCGGCTTCGCCTCGCCCATTTCACACCCTGTATGAATCCGTATTAGGTCACTAACTGACTGTGTAACTAATAGTATGAAGTTTGGTCCCATCAATGGACAGTCAGGTGATGAATGCATAGTTCGTGTACTGAATGTAGGTCATTTACAAATTTCTATATCGCAAGGGCATACCCTAGTTGAAATTAAAAATTCAAGCTATTAATTGTTTCTGCATACTTTGTAGTTTATGAAAAGTGCTGCTGCTTTGATTAGAATTCGCGTTTTAATAGTTAAATTTTCAGGTAAATAAGCCTATGTCGAAATATGTTTGCCTTTTACCAAATATTCTGCGTACTTATAAAATCACGCCCTCGATTTAAAGAAAGCAGCAGCACTTTTCAAATTAAGAAAAATATCCTTTACCTATATTAAAAAAATGGTTAAGATCTATTCAGTTTATGCCCTTGCGAAAGTACAATTTTATGATATTTATTTTCATATCGATATGTAAAATATACGTAACCTGTACATAAAAACACGACACAATTAATAAAATACATTCTCTTGATAGTTAATGAATAATCATACTAAACAAAGGATATAAATTGGTATTAATCGACTATTTAAAACCTGTAAATGATATTCCATTTAATAATAAAACGCATTTTTCATTGTTAAAAAATTCCTTAATGCCTCTCACAGCACATGAAATACGTCATTTTTACCAAAATAACGTCATGTTTACAAGTTCATCGCGATCAGTGCTTTCTTTATAACCAGCTACATGGGATTTATCTAGCAAGTTTTTTTAATGCATTGATAAGTTTTATTGTTGTTTATTATGCTAATATTTAAAAGTTGCAAATTATTTCATTTTCAGGTATTATGAAAAAATACATAAAAGTCATATTTTGTGTGACGTCACAGTAAACTTTACCCGTATAAATTAGGCCCCGCCCTCTTTTTCAAGCCTTAACAATGCTGCGTTGTACTGCCGCATATTCAAGTTGTAACTAGCATATAAAATGTAAGTCAACAATCCCTATGATTATTTTAAAAATTCCCAAAAGGCTACAAGTATTAAAAAACCTTTTACGATTGAAGAAAAAAAAATCCTACTTTAATATCCAATGTTGTTTTGTTTTAACAAGTTGACTGTAAATATCAAAACATTACGAAGTCAATATCTATAATATAATTAACATAAAAGGAAACGACAGAAACAAAACTACCCCACTGATGCTATTTATTTAATACAATAACCTTGTTTGCAATATATTGCATCTTGTCACTGGATTGAATTTAGACCGACTTGATTAACATTTTTTTCATTTCTGAATTGTCAACAGAGTACTTTTTGTATACACAATTAAGAAAAATAAAGAAAACAAAGAATTAAGGTAGATGTGACCTGTCGAGATAGGATGTTTGCTTGTTCTTGGCACCTGGTTCCACTGATGTTTTTGGCATGCTTTCAACTTTTTATTGATTAAAAATGTGGTTAACGCTAGATAGTACAATGTACAGGTAGTCGAACGTGAGTTATCGTTCATAATATGCGTATTACGTCACTAGCAGACCTATTCACTCGTACATGGAATATTCAACATGTGTTAAAATATAAGGAAATAAATGAAATATTCTTAATTAATATTTATTTCACTGGTAATTATGTTCCCCAAACGAAGTTGGGGAACATATTGTTTTTACTCTGTTTCTTATTATTATTATGTTCCCCAAACGAAGTTGGGGAACATATTGTTTTTACTCTGTTTCTTATTATTATTATTATTATTATTATTATTATTTTTCTTCTTCTTCCTGGGTACTTTTTTGTCCGGGAATGATCTTGTAAACTGTTCGTCCGAGGTAGGTAAAACCTTTTTAGGGTAAGTAGACATGTTATGCAGATTTGCGGAATCAAGGTCATTTTGCGCGCACGTGCTTGCAAGAGCGCGCACGTGCAACACTTGAAATAACCAATATAATAGATATAGTCGGAACTTTTCTATTTTTTGATAAAATGCTTTGAAACTCATAATGTAAGGATACATTAGTAGTATAGACAAGATGGCATGGTCAAAATAGCAAGATCTCACGCGCATGCACGTGCGCTTTGCTCTGATTGGCTGAAACTAAAGTCTCAATATCTTTCTTGTTTCTTGTCATAATCTTTTGAAATTTTGAACATGGTCCTACATTATGAAGATCTACAGCATGATATATTAAAATTTTAATAAAAGCATGCGCATGCGCACGTGCTGTAATCTGATTGGCTAAAATTTTAAATGGCTATATCTCCTTTGTTTTTTGACGAAATGCTTTGAAATTTAAAACATAGTCATGCATTACGATATCCTAAAATATGATATAGAAAATATTCATAAAATCACGCGCATGCACGTGTGCTGCAATCTGATTGGCTGAAACTTCAAATGGCTATAACTCTCATGTTTTTCAACCAAACAGGATGAGATTTAGAACTTGGATAAATATAAGGGACTCCTACAAGAAGGTGTAGTCATTATGCACGTGCTTGCACGTGCGTGCACGTGAAATGAGTAAAATAAAAAAAATACACTCGAATGAGTGCATTTTTTAATACTTTTGGATTAAATGCTTTGATATTATTAAAATTTAAGATAGTGTAGACAAGATAATATGGTCGTAACGCACATGAACACGCGTGCAATGCCTATTTTTAAATATATTTTGTATTTTTCTTGGAAGACCTTGATTAAGTCTAAATTCCATAAAGTATTTCTTATTTAATAGAGATAATAGGGAATATGGCACCAAAAGGGAGTTGGGGAGCGTTTGGGGAACATCTGTAACGGTCCCCGTTACAATTAGCACTAGTTATTATTATTATTATTATTATTTTTCTTCTTCTTCCTGGGTACTTTTTTGTCCGGGAATGATCTTGTAAACTGTTCGTCCGAGGTAGGTAAAACCTTTTTAGGGTAAGTAGACATGTTATGCAGATTTGCGGAATCAAGGTCATTTTGCGCGCACGTGCTTGCAAGAGCGCGCACGTGCAACACTTCAAATAACCAATATAATAGATATAGTCGGAACTTTTCTATTTTTTGATAAAATGCTTTGAAACTCATAATGTAAGGATACATTAGTAGTATAGACAAGATGGCATGGTCAAAATAGCAAGATCTCACGCGCATGCACGTGCGCTTCGCTCTGATTGGCTGAAACTAAAGTCTCAATATCTTTCTTGTTTCTTGTCATAATCTTTTGAAATTTTGAACATGGTCCTACATTATGAAGATCTACAGCATGATATATTAAAATTTTAATAAAAGCATGCGCATGCGCACGTGCTGTAATCTGATTGGCTAAAACTTTAAATGGCTATATCTCCTTTGTGTTTTGACGAAATGCTTTGAAATTTAAAACATAGTCATGCATTACGATATCCTAAAATATGATATAGAAAATATTCATGAAATCACGCGCATGCACGTGTGCTGCAATCTGATTGGCTGAAACTTCAAATGGCTATAACTCTCTTGTTTTTCAACGAAACAGGATGAGATTTAGAACTTGGATAAATATAAGGGACTCCTACAAGAAGGTGTAGTCATTATGCACGTGCTTGCACGTGAAATGAGTAAAATAAAAAATACACTCGAATGAGTGCATTTTTTAATACTTTTGGATTAAATGCTTTGATATTATTAAAATTTAAGATAGTGTAGACAAGATAATATGGTCGTTACGCACATGAACACGCGTGCAATGCCTATTTTTTTAATATATTTTGTATTTTTCTTGGAAGACCTGGATTGTCTAAATTCCATAAAGTATTTCTTATTTAATAGAGATAACAGGGAATATGGCACCAAAA